CTGGATGGCCTCCAAATGACTGCATTTTACCTTCATCTGAGTAAGCAGTAAACTATAGTTTGTTTCAGCCACTAATATTTGGAATTTTGTTGTTGCTGTTGTTGTTATTGTTGTTACATCAGGTAACATAACTTGATTAAGTAGATCTATAATTACAAGAATTCTAGTGAGGATTACTTAGGATAGACCCAGTACAAAGCATCACTCACAGAAGAAGTTAAAAAATATATTATTCACATATTTCTCCATTGGTTTTTACCCCTGTCCAACATATCTTCACTAGTCCACTTCTACTCCCTTCTTACCTCTTAAATAAAAATGTCTTTCTTATTGGATTATAAATACTATGTAATTTTTTATTCTAGTCTATGGAACTTGGTCCATTACTTTCACTCATTTCTTTGAAATTTCTTTTGAAACTTTCTTTCTCCAATGGTTCATCTCTACCTATGAATACATTCCCATTTCACGCATCCATGAGGAACACTGCTTCACCTCTTCTATGGCCTTAATCTACAGTCATTTCCCGTGTATGTTACAGAAAAAAAATTCTACTAAAAATGTAATTTGGATCCTTTGGATCTTCTTTTTCACTACTCTTTTACTCATAAAACTTTTCAATCAATTTTTTATCTCCTTCATTCTACTTAAATATTTTCTCAGAGATCAGTCATGTTGAAATGGTCAAATTAAATTTGCATTTTTTGACTGCTCTTTAACACTATAATTATAGCTAGAATTACAATAACTAGCACCGCCAGTCTTTCTCCCCATGATAATTCATGTCCCAGCATCTTATTCCCAGAATCTCTTGGGAAATTAGCCACATTCAGGGTTTTTACCTCTCTCAGTGGATGCCTACTTACTTTGTGTGTCTGGTCTTATTCTGTCTATTGAGATCTGCCTGGACCTTTCTAATGGTCTGCTAGACATAAATAACTGTTAAAATTTATTTTAACACTTAAACCTTTTCTTCCTTTTAAACTATTCTGAACATGTCTAAAAACAACCTCTTTATTCCCATATGGGTTCTCTCTTCCTTTTAAACATGCTAACTGTCATAATTTTTTCAAACCACCCGCATTTGGAAATATAAGGCACCAGTTACCTACCATTCTTCCCCATGTTTAACTCTCAATTAGTTGAATCATTTCCTCTACAAATTATCTTGAATACCACTTTTCCTTTTCCTCTTGGCTCGTTGTATGGTACCTCCAACCACTCAGTTGCTGAAGTCTGAGAGGCCCATCTTTAATTGGGCAATTGGGCCTCTTTAATTTAACATTCCCTTAACCCCCAAATTTCAGCAACCCACCAATTTCTACAACTCCTAACTATAAATTATTATGCAAATTCTTTTTCATTCATTCATTCCCATGGCCAGTATTTTGGATTAGCCTCCCAGGATCTGTCATTTCTGTCACCAAGAAATTCTGTCATAGCCATTAAATCTCACTCAAATCCAAAAAATCCACTATTCACAGTTCAACCACAGTGATATTTCTAATGTCAAATCTAACTTTCACTGTGCTTCAAAGGTTCTCCATTGTAGTAAGGTAAAGGGCAGAGTCTTTAAGTAAGCTTGTGTAGTTTCAATTTGTGAAGCCCAATGAAGTACTCATCCTCATCTTTAGTTTTCAATCACACTGTACATTCAATTAGCAGTAATTATTTATTAGTAGTATACTCTTAGCATATTATATTTTCTTCTGTCTGAAGATCTATGTGCATGCCATTTACTGTTGTCAAAAAATTCTCTACCAACTGCAAGTCGTCCCTATTTGCACTTACAGAAAGGGTGACCACATGATTTATTGTTCAAGATGAGATTATTTTGAGAGTAGCAAGAGCGTTAGTAATAATTACACCAAAAGAACAGACATACATGGTAACTATTCTGGGAAAACTAGGATATAAGGTCATACAAATTAGGTACACTTATCAGAAAAATTTTCTGATTATCAACCCCATGCTATTTATTTTTCATTACTCTTACATAGAATTCTATTTCTCCTATAATACATTTTATCAGCAGCAGTTGATCCCCTTACAGTAGCCACAATTAGAGCGACTAGTCCCCATTCCACAGCCATTCCAGGTTAGACTGGAATCAGACTTTGAGAGTGAACAAAGCTGATCTGCCAGCAGCAACAGCAGTAGCAAAATTTTCTGCCTCCCTACCCTCCACCAAATAGCATAAGAAGAGGCAGGCTCAGCAGCTTATAATTCCCTCCTTACTTAAAGATCACTCAGTGTATTAGTCTGTTCTCACACTGCTATAAAGAAATACTTGCAACTGGGTAATTTATAAAGAAAAGAGGGTTAATTGGCTCATGGTTCTGCAGGTTGTACAGAAAGTATAGTGGCTTCTGCTTCTTGGGAGACCTCAGGAAGCTTCCAGTCATGGCAGAAGGCAAGGTGGGAGCAAGGCATCTTACATGGTGGGAGCAGGGGCAAAGAGAGCAAGGGGGGAAGAATTGCATATTTTTAAACAACCATATCTCATAAGAACTCACCCATGATCACAAGGACAGTATTAAGGAGATGGTGTAAACCAGTCATGAGAAATCTGCCATCATGATCCAGTCACCTCCCACCAGGCCCCACCTCCAAAATTAGGGACTAAAATTCAACATAAGATTTGGTGGAGATACAGATCCAGACCATATCATTCTGCTCCTGGCCCCTCCCAAATCACATGTCCTTTTCACATTGTAAAACAAAAACATGCCTTCTCAACAATCCTCAAAGTTTAAAATCACTCCAACATTAATTCAAAAGTCCAAAGTCTCATTGGAGATAAGCCTAGTCCCTTCTACTTATGAGACTATAAAATAAAATTCAAAAAAGTTAGTTACTTCCAATGAACAATGGAGGTATAGACATTAGGTAAATACTTCCATTCCAAAAGGGAGAAATTGGCCAAAAGAAAGGGAGGACAGACCCCATGCAAGTTCCAAAACCAGCAGGGCATTCATTAAATCTTAAAGCTCCAAAATAATCTTCTTTAACTCCATGTCAGACATTCAGGATGCACTTATACAAGGGATGGTCTCTGAGGTCTTGAGCATCTCTGCCCCTATAGCTTTGCAGGGTTTAGCCAGCACAGCTGCTCTCCAAGGCTGACAGTGAGTGCCTGCAGACTTTTCAGGTGCAGGTGCAAGCTGTTTGTGGATCTGTTATTCTGTGGTTTACAGGATGGCAGCCCTCTTCTCACAGCTCCACTAGGCAGTGTCCTAGTGAGGACCCTATAGGGGCTCCAACCCCAAATTTCTCCTCTGCACTGCCCTAGTAGAGGTTCTACATGAGGGCTCCATCTCTGCAGCAGTGTTCTCTCTGGATATCCAAGCTTTTCCATACATCCTTGAATTTAAGCAGAGGCTCCCAAACCTCAATTCTTGAACTCTGTGCACCCACAGACTTAACAGCACATGGAATCTGTCAAGGCTTATGGATTGCACCCTCTGAAGCAGCAGCCTGAACCATACCTGGGTTCCTTTGAGCCAAGGCTGGAGCTAGAGCTACTGGGATCCAGGGAACAGTGTCCCAAGGTTTCACAGGGAAGTGGGGCATGGAGTCTGGCTTATAAAACCATTCTCTCATCCTAAGCTTCTGGGTCTATTATGGGGGGGAGCTGTGAAGAAGTTCTCTGAATTGCCTTTGAGGGCTTTTCTGCATTATCTTGGGTATTAGCACTTGGCTCATTTTTACATATGCAAATTTCTGCACTCTGCTTGAAGTCCTCCCATGAAAATGGACTTTGCTTTGCTATGTCATGGCCAGGCTGCAAATTTTTCAAATGTTTACTCTCTGCTTCCCCTATAAATCCATGTTCCAACTTTAGGTCATTTATTTGCTCACTCATATGAGCATAGGTTGTTAGAAGCAGCCAGGGCACCCCCGAATGCTTTGCGGCTTGGAAGTTTCTTGCACCAGATATCCTAAATCATCACTCTGAAGTTCAAAGTTCCATGATCCTTAGAGCAGGGGGACAATGCAGCCAAGCTCTTTGCTATGCATAACACAAGTGGCCTTTCCTCCAGTCCCCAATAAGTTCCTCATTTCCACCTGAGACTTCATCAGCCTTGTCTTCACTGGCCATATCACTACTATCATTGTGGTCATAACCATTCAACCCATTTCTAGGAAATTCCAAACTTTCCGTCATCTTCATATATTCTTCTGAGTCCTGTACAGTTTTTCAACCTTTGCCCATAACCTGGTTCCAAAGTTGCATCCACATTTTCATGTATCCTTACAGCGATGTACCACTTCTGAAACCAACGTTCTGTATTAGTCCATTCTTGCTTTGCTATAAAGAAATACATGAGACTGTGTAATTTATAAAGAAAAGAGGTTTAATTGGTTCATGATTCTGTAGGCTGTGCAGGAAGCATAGTGGCTTCTACCTCTGGGGAGACCTCAGTAAAGTTGTAATCATGGTGGAAGGCAAAGGGAGAGGAAAGCATCTCACATGATGGGAGCAGGAGCAGAAGAGAGTAAGTGGGGAAGTGCTACACACTTTTAAAAAACCAGATCTCATGAGAACTCACTCACAAATGCAAGAATGGTACCAAAGGGATAGTGCTAAACCATTTATTTGAAATCCACCCCCCATGATCAAATCACCTCTCACCAGGCCCCATCTCCAGCACTGGGGATTACAATTCAACATGATCATTGGTGGGGAGGAAGATCCAAACCACATCAATTAGCAATAGCAGGCAATTCCAGAAGATACCTTCTACATCACCAGAAAGGATTGAGCTGGGGCCCCAGCAGTGCAAAATCAAAGAAAGCAGAGTAAGTAAGCTTTCATTGGAATTAAAGTCCACAAAAGTCCACCAGAACCTATACACTAATGTTAAACAGGATGACTGCAAGCTAAAGTAGAAGCTCCTTGTGTAACACTCACCCTTTGAGTATGGGTTGGTTTTAGTTATGTGCTTCCAGAGAATAGATATTTCTTCCATGATTCAACTGCATAATATTGTGACTTCTCTTTCTTGCTAGTAGACTTTCATGGTCTCTCTCTCTCTCTCTCTCTCTCTCTCTCTCTCTCTGTCTCTCCCCCCCACCTTTTGCTGGCAGAAGAAATCTTAAAAGTTTAAGAAGAAAATATGATAAGTAACTAAGAGAAATCTCTGGTTAATACTCAACATAAGTCCCTCAGTCCAACAATATTCCATGCATGAAATCCTGCCAATAACCAGGTAAGTAACCATAGAAGCATATAACTCCCCTGTTGACCTTTCAAATGAGATAGTAACCCACCTTGTGAACTTCATTGCAGGTTAAAGAGAGATCATGAATCAGAGGACCCAGTTCAGCTGTGATCAGAGTCCTGGCCCATTGCAACTTTGAGATAAGTGCATGTTGTTTAGGATGCAAAACTTGTGGTTATTTGTTTCACAAAAATAAGTAACTTATAAAAATGCTCTATACTCTTGATCCTCATTATCAGTGAAACATCTCATTATTGATGCAGGGACATTGAATTCCTTAAAAATTGAGGCAAACTATCTTGAAAACAAAGCCCAAAGAGTTGTTGTATTTTCATATACCCTCCTTCACCTGCTAGAAATCAAGTTAAAGAAGTCACAATCATTATTACTGTTGTAGAAAAGGTACTCCTTTTCCTTTATTCAGGCTCTTACTTGTGCTTAGAATAAATGTTTGTGGCTTCTATGGTTAACTAGCTGAAACATAAAGGCTTTGGTTATTTTATGTTTCCTTCGAAGGCCATTTGTAGTATTGATTTAACACACAAGCTCTTTGGACGTTGTTTTTGCCTCAATCACTCAAGTAGGTGGTTCTGTACAATGAAGAACACGGCTAAAGGAAAAACATAGAAAGACATCTACTCTACAGGTAGGCCCTGCAGTGGCTCTGGAAACATTGTGAAGTAACTCTATGCACAATACTATTGATACCTATTTGGAATTTTCCTATAATGGGACAAATTTGATATACAATCTATTTACATTGTAGAATCTTTCCTAATGCACCTGTGTCTCACTGACGGGCTTTTCTTTCCATACCTGTTGAATTTGTATGTTTTATCTAATGGAAGTTGATTTTGAACAACGATGGAGGAATTTGCATACAAGGCAATACAGCCTCCTATATGGTATTATTGTTGTTAGGGAAATTAATAATAGCTTCCACAGCAAACAAAGCTATTCTTATTATCTGAACACAGCAAAAGTCTATTTATTGCTATGTCAAATCTAATGCAGATGTTCCTTGGTGGTGGGAGAACTGCCTATGGTTTTTTAGAGATCCATACTACACATCTTGTAGTTCTGCTATTTTCCAGAGCTGCAGAGATGTTACTTGATCCTTTGCTTTCAGCTGCTAGTCGGGAGAAAGGTAGAAGATCATGTGAGAAAGAATTTTCTGGGCGAGTTCCAGAAATGGTTTACATAGTCCACTAGACAAAAGCAAGTCCAACAGCCACATCTAACTACAAAGGAGGCTGGGAAATGTAGTCTACTTTTGTGCCCAGGAAGAAAATAAGAACTGATAAATATAGACTGTCATGGGGGTAGATTAAAATAATGCAATATTAATGCAAATAGATTTAAGACTGCAGAAATATGGCACACGATTTATGCAACTTAATTCCAACATATATCAGTATTTATAGTAGAAAACTTATTTTAAAGAATTCTATACTATATAAATAATAAAATTAGTGTAACAGTACAACATTAGTGTGTTCTAATTGTGGTTTTATTGTAATGTTACCTTTTGATAATAATCATCTAACCTATTTCCCGGTTAGCTCTGTCAAGTTATTTCCCTTTTCCCCATTTTCTATTCCTTTCTCCTTAGTAGGTTATATTCCCTTCTCATCTTCTTCAGGGAAACTCGCATTTTGTACTATACCATATTGGATGAAATAATTTATTCTGCATAAAACATGTTTGGATACACTTTCTAGACTAGGTTAGGTTTTCAAAGAATTTTTATTGGAATTAAATGCTTTCTGCAATCCTGTACCATACTAGAAATAGAAGTTACATATGCTGCCTCTTGGGAAGCAGAGCAGGTAAGTGGTATCCTGGAGTCCAATAGTTGCAAGAATGAAGTAAATGACCAAGAGATGAAGGAAAATGGGGGAAAAATCTAGCCCTTGCTACCAACTTCAACAACTACTATTTAGTGACTTTTCATGTTGTCTCAGTGGCCAGAGAGCATCTGTCCACTGAGCATCTGAAGGCATGAATCTTTTACTATCCAAGTAAAGGTCACATATTGTTATGCTGTAGCCTAAGCTGAAAGATGTCATGGTCATGACCTTGACAAATTTCCTAGGCCATTGGTGTCAGGATGCACCCTTGATCTGCAACGTTTTATATTGTTCTCTGGGTTTGTTTCCTGAGAAGGAGGTTATGCTGGACCTGCAGTTCAGAGTGACTTAAGTAACCCTGACACTGTAATTGGCAATGTCTGCTCGAAAAGCTGTTATTAAAAATAAGTGTTTGAGGCAAAATTGTTGTTCTTATTCTGTTCCTTTATCTCATATGGAACGTGAAACTTTATTTCCATATTTGTCTTCTCTTAGCTAGTTTATATGCCTCTGAAATATTAGGTATTTTGTAAAATAAACTTGAATGTGAAATTACATAGAAGTATCATTGTATTGAATTGGTTATACCTAAAAGAACAGAAATCACTTTGTAATTTGGGCAAACTTTTGTTTTTCCAATTTGTTACTTTCATTCTTCCTTTGTTTATGGTGATTTTTGTGTTGTGTATGTGTTTTGTCAAATAGGGATCCGTTTAAAATGATTACCAAAATGCATGTGGGTACTTTTTACATAAAAAAGCCTGTTGTGAAGGAATCAAAAGTCAATAGATTTATTGAAAACCTACTCTGTGCAAGGCACTGCATCAGAAATAATAAATGAAGGGTAATAGTTAACATAAAATGAGTAATCACTTGAGTTTCTTAATGTAACATATTTTAATATATCTTTCTGTACTTGGTGTAGTCTTAAATGTTTAATTACGAGTCAAGAAAAGGCTTTGAAAGAATTTTATAGTATTTTTAATTGTAAAATAAGGATCCCACATCCCAGAAATATTATTGTCATTAGTTTGACCCTAAATCATAAAATCATAGAATGCTGGGAAAGGAAGATGTGTTTAACATTACATAGTATAAATGTTGTCTAGTGCAATAATTTCCTGTGTTAAAATACATCCAGTGATTAAGAACCCTTTGCTTTTTCAAGTGGTACATCTTCTCCCCTCTTTCTCTTCCTCTCTCCCTTTCCTTCCTCCCACTTTTCTTGCTTTCTTTGATTTTTTTTTTCTATTGATAACTATCCTAGTAGAATTGTGCTTGATATAGTTTGGATGTTGTCCCTGTCCAAACCTCATATTCAAATGTCATCCCTAATATTGGAGGCTTGACCTGGTGGGAGGTGATTGAACTGGCTTCGTGCCATCCTCTGGGTACTGTCCTCACAATAGTGAGTGAGTTCCTGCAAGATTCAGTTGTTTAAAAGTGTGTGGCACCTCCTGCTTCTCTGTCTTGCTTCTGCTCTAGCAATATTACATGCCTACTCTCCCTTCATCTTTCACCATGATTATAAGCTTCTTGAGGCTTCCCCAGAAATGAATCAGATGCCAGGGTCATACTTCCTATACAGCCTGCAGAACTGTGAGCCAATTAAGCCCATTTTATTTATAAATTACTCAGTCTCAGGCATTTCTTTATAGTAATGCAAGAATGGAGCAATAGAGTTCTTTTTTGTGTGCCTCCTGAAATCTGCCTGCCTTTAAATTTTGCTCTTTGTTTCTTTTTGTCTTAATTATACTTCAATATGTATATGATGAACTAAATGAATGTTATTGAGAATAACTATCTGGACATCCACATGCAATATACATTCACAATACATGTGTATGTTTGTGTGAAGAGGGCAGGAAAATATTACCAAGTTTCTGACTCCTTTAGGCTCCTGCATCTTGTATAAATATGAGCCCACTGACTTGCCATTTTTGTAAGACCATGCTGTTTTTAATAGGACCTCTTCCACTGACAAGTCTTCATGGTGCCCCTTGTCTGACTAACTTCTATTTGTCCTACTGTTCCTGGCTACCTGTGAGCACCTTTAGAAAGTTTCCTCTGAGCTTAACCTCTCCCTGGACCCAATCTAGATTGGGTGCTTCTGCCTTCTGGTATCCCATGCTTATCCTTATCAGGGGACATGTCACACTACTTTGGAATTGCTTGTTGACATGCACGTAGGCTTCTCATTAGGCTATCAGCATCCTGAGGGCAGGACTTTCCCATCTCTGTTGCCCTGGGATCTTGTACTGTGCAAAGTAGACTCGAATTTGTTGAAAGTACAAGAAAGGAAAGAAAGTATAAACAGACTTTTTAATTCTTAGTCTCAGTTACAAGACCCTGGAAAAGTTGCCCCGTGATTCATCCTATGGTAGTCTCCCTTTTCGGCCTTCCAGGACTCGGTCTTTTTCTACCTCTTCTTCTCTGCCCTTTCTTAATGGAAACCAATCTCACTTCTGGCATCTTCTATTCTGCCTCTTTGTACATTATCTCCATGAGACAATATGGTGGGGTTGGGGACCCTATGACCTCCCCCCACATATGCATATTTTAGTCTCTATAATATTTATTAAAAATTGTATCTTTCTATACCATCTCAATATAAAGTATTCTGGATACCAAATGACTCACAGTTTATGTGTTATAAGGCAGGATTTGGCATATTTGTGTGGCTTGTATGGTTTTTATTTTCTTTATCTGTGTTTTCTAAATTGATTACAATAAAAATGTAATATCTCTGTATAGAAAATAATAGTTAAATTATTTGAAACATGAGTTATTAGATTTAGCAATGAGAAGGTCTCCAATGTCCCTCTGATAAAATATTGGGGGAATCATGAAGGAAAAAATAAGATTGCAAGGAGTTAAGATTTCTAAGCTTACTATATAACAATTTGGAACTTTTAAAACCTCTTACCCTACTGAGATGAACTTCAATTTAAATTTTAAAAACTACCATATGTTGATAATTTCAGGGTAATTCTAATGAGTTTAGTTTAATTGCTCGGGGATGGGTTATAGCTTTTATTTCTTCTTTCTCCATGGCAATGGAGAAACTTAATGTCAGTATCCATCATTCCAGGTACAGTCTCGTTAGTCACTGAAGTCATGAGGCTGACATTTGTGGATTCTGGAGGGGATAGCCGTGTTAAAACACTCTGCATTTCAAGTTTCACCTGGATCATTTTGGTTTAGGTAAAATTGGGTTCCTTCTCTCTCCTCACTATGAAAAGTAATTATACCTTCAAAGGCCTCACTCCAGAACCCTCTGGATACAACAGCGTGCACGACAGAAATGGCACAAGCTTTAGAGTTAGAAGGGCATTGGAGCTGGACTGTCAGCGGTACCACTTGCCCACTGTGTCCTTGAATATGAAAATCTAATCTTTCAAAGTCTTAGCTCTTCATCATCAAAACAGTGTTCTTATGAGGCTTTATGATTCAGTTAATACTTGATATTTATGAATCTTGGTTATTTTCTCTCCCTTCCTCCTCTCTCCTCCTCTACTACTGGTTTTCTCATGTTAAATAGATGCTTGTTATTTTCCTATGAAAGGCAATATCTCGTTAGAGAAACTAATGAAAGCTGTGGACTCTCTCTCCGGGAAGATATATACATGCACAAAAGTTGACACATAATTTCAAACTATTCATGTACCCCCATGAAATACTTTCATGGGAACAATCATTAAGAAACACTGCTTAACATTTTTAATTTCAGCTCAGTTCTATTTTTCCTTTGACAGACTCTCCCATGGGATTCAAATCTTAGAGTCTTTTCAAAGCACTGTTTGAGAATGAGGAGTGTGAAATCTCTCACCATCCACCAGCAAACACAACAGACAGCTACCAATGAGTTCAAGTGACTTCTTAAAGACTGAAACCAACATTAGCTTTCTATTCTCTTTCTGTCCAATTTTCTGGGATTCGGTAGTTCAAAGCAACCATACTTTACCTCAAGAAGCAGAGGAGGATCGAATTCTTGCTGATCAGATTCTCTGAAGCCTCAAAGCTGAAATTAACAGCCTCCTTTGGATTTTCATACCTCTACTCAAGGGGAATTAAGGAGTCAATTGATTAAATCCCCAAATTAAAGTTATTTGATGTCTGTTCCGTGTGCTGGCAACACCCCCTGAAAGCAGAAAGCGTTTATTTTTTTTTCTGGCCTTAGAGAATTTCCCTGGCTGCAAGGATCCTCTTTGCTTTGGCTGAAGTGCAGGAGACTTACCCATTGAAGCAGCCCTCAGTCAATTACTGACGGAAGTTGGTGCATCACTATCCCAGTTTTCTCACAACTGTGACAAGATAACTCAGACATTGACATAATTTATATTTACTCATAAAGCTTCCTCAGTTGAATTATGTCCTTATTGCCCTCAGTGGTAACTTGCTTGGTAAAGCACACTTTATTGATCTTTTTCCTCTCCTGTCTTGCTTCTCATTTACCAATCAGGGTTTCCTTTATTCCCAAATAGATTACTTACACTTGGATCATGTCAGGGTCAGCTTCTGGATGAATCGAAACTACAACATTATCTAATATACTTAAGGGACATGCTTTTGGCTCTCATATATTGCAGGACTATTAACATTCTTAATCACCACCCACTAAATGCCTATAGTAGTCCCTGGGCATTGTGACAACCAAAGTACCTGCTCACACCTCAAAAGCTCCCCCAACCCCCAGGGAGGCAGCAATAACTAGAGTAGAGCAATACTACTTAGCAATACTACTTAGCTCTGATTGTCTTAGTCTGTGTTGTGCTGGTAAAACAGAATAACACAGACTGGGTAAATTATCATGAAAAAACACTTTTGATTTGTGGTTCCAAGAGGCTGGGAAGTCCAAAATCAAGGGGCTACATTTGGTGAGGTCCTTCTTGAGTGGCACCATATGGCAGAAAGCACCACATGAATGAGAGGGAAAGAGAGGGCCTAATTCATCATTTTTCAGGAGCCGACTTCCGAGATAACTTAACCATTCCCTCAATAATGGCGTTAACCCATTCATGAGGGTTCTGCCCTCATGACCTAATCACCACTTAAAGACCCCACCTCTCTACTTCGTTGCATATGCAATTTAGTTTTCATCACAGGAATTTGGGGAATATATTCAAACAATTGCACTGATCTACCAGACAAACCTTGTAATTCTAGTTTAAAATATATACTTGAATAATTGTCTTAAGCTTATAATTTTAAGTTAAAATAATTCTTCAAAGTTTTGCAAATAATATTAGAATATGTAAAATCAGTTGAGGTTTACTGTATTTATTTCTCTATTAGGTTTATAGGAATCAGTTAAGTTCTTGGGGCGTTTTGTTTGATATTCAGATAGTTGAATTGCATATAAAAGAAAATCAAATATATTAAGTGTATAAATGCTGTTTAAAATATTTAACGACATTTAATTAAGTAAGCCATAATATCTCTCTTAAAAGTCATACTTAATTTACTGAATGTATACATAGAATCACATGTTTGTAAATTAAATCTAAATGCTTTATAAAAACTAAGCCTTTGAATTTATAGCTTTAATACATTGAATATTGTAGGCCGGGTGCGGTGGCTCACGCCTGTAATCCCAGCACTTTGGGAGGCCGAGATGGGCGGATCACGAGGTCAGGAGATCGAGACCATCCTGGCTAACACAGTGAAACCCCGTCTCTACTAAAAATACAGAAAAATTAGCCGGGCGTGGTGGCGGGCGCCTGTAGTCCCAGCTACTTGGGAGGCTGAGGCAGGAGAATGGCGTGAACCCGGGGGGGCGGAGCTTGCAGTGAGCTGCGATCCGGCCACTGCACTCCAGCCCGGGCGACTGAGCAAGACTCCGTCTCAAAAAAAACAAAAACAAAAACAAAAACAAAAACAAACCAAAAAAAAAATTGTAGTAACCCTAAATAATATTTCTGCATGCAATGACCTCAAATACAGCAACAATCTTCCATTCATAGTGTTAAGGAACTTTTGGGCTTTGTCCTAAAGAGATCATTAAGAATTTCTCTTCCCATTTTATCACACCTAGCTCATCTTTCAAAGCATAATTATAACTCTACCTTCCCAGTGAAACCTGTGTTGATGTTTCCAGTTCTCATTTATTGCTTCATCTTTGAACTTCTATTATATTTATAGTCTATGGTGTGCAATTTTACCACAATCTTGTTTCTTATGCTTACTGTAAGATTTTATTCCATACATGTTAGTATAGCCTTGCAACTGGATTGATAGTTTCATGCTTTTCACTCCTTTTTAATCACCTAAAGTCTTTCCTAAACCCATCCTACCCTCTCCCATTGTGCAGCATCCCAGCTCCAGAGAGAGTCCCTGACAGGTTCTAGTATTACTATCCTCATCAACATAGTATTTACTTCAAGTAAATGGACTTAAGCCAATTGGCCCATGACATTGCCCCAGCCATAGGGTGCCCCAGTCACAGGCTCAGGCTTCACTTAGATTGTGCAGGGCTCAGTTTCATGCAGCGATTCTGACTAGAGTTGCACCAATGATCTCTTGTCACAAATAATGCTCCTTAGAAGTCACCTCAAAATTCAATGGCTCAAAAATAACCATTTATTATAGCTTCCAAGTTTAAGAGCCAGCTTTAAACCATTGTTTCCATTCACTTGAAATTCAGTTTGAATTAGGTTTTTCTTTAACTTGAAGAATTTTAACTCATACAACTTCACAGCCCCTAGTAGATTTGACAGAGTGCTTGGTGCACTGGTTCCCAAACTTGCAGGGCTCATAGAATCCTGATTTTATTCTTTCCTTCACCCTGAGTTTTTGATTCAGTGGTTTTGAAGTGAGTTCATTTTCAGAAAGTTCCTCATAGAATTCCAATGTGTTTCCAGGTCTAGGCTCTACTGCTCCAGTTAATACTGTAGGATGGGTACTCAATAAAGTGGTTTTGAGTGACTTTAAGAAAATATTAGGAGTTGACATTCATAATCACAAACTTTAATTCCCAAAGAAAGAAATATTGACACAAATTCATTCAAAATCCTCCCTGATGATCAATGAAGTGAATTAATTTGTCACATACACAGAATTACATGCCCTGTATTGAAATGCCACATAATTAATGTTCCAGATTTCATAAAATTTTGGAATAAAGAGACTCATACTATGAATGTAATACAAACTTTTATTGTTAACATAATTTTAAAACAAAGATGATTGTGTGTGTGTCTGTTTGTGTGTGTGTGTGTATGGGTATGTAGAAAGAAGGTTTAAAAAGTATGGTATGCTGCTTCAAAATAGACGTTCTCGAACAAACATTGTAGGCAGGTGGTGTCCTAAGAAAAGCTTGTAACCTTGTGTATTGATACAGAAACTTGTTAACAAAGCCAGCACACTGGCAGGAGTCGTATTTTAAGAACTTCCTTTGGCAGAGGGATCTCTCTTGCATTTCCAAGTTCTCTTTAAATGAACTGATGGTTCTCTGGAGGTTTTATTCAACACTTAGGTGTGTATCATTCTGTAGCATGTAAAAAATCCTATGATTTGTTTTTGCTCCTCTAGATAAAAAAGTTATTAAATGCACAACGGATTTGTCAATGGGATTTCAGATTAGCTTCATTGATCTCAATTTTTGGTTATGCAAAAGTGCTTCTACACGCCAAGTTTTCATGCATTCCAATTGATGCCTGATTTACAGCCATATATCTGAATGAAACAGAGTAAAGCATGGATCTGTATTTTTCTGGGGAAAACACTGACTTTTAAAAAATAAAATAGATTTGTTCATAATTTCTGAAAGTAAATTACAATTCATGGTGCTACTAATTTCAAGAACAGCATTCTTCATTTTACAGCAAAGAAATATAGTTGTGCTATTTACTTCATGTTCCTTGAAGGAGTGTGAACAGAGAACATTTGTATTTCAAAACTGACTTTCTATTTATTCCAATGAAATTTAAGAAATGTGTTTCTGTGGACAGATGTTGAACCTTAAAATGAAATTAAACCTCCTAAAAACTAATGTTTCACTCAGAAAGAAGAGACTGCAGAATAATTTTACTCAATTTGGTGAAGTAATCAATATCTCCTACTTATAACACACTGTCCTAGATGTTGAGGTATAAAATTGGATCAGAGTTAATGTCTTCATGAAATTCACAGACTAGTAGGGACAAGCAAAAGTACTAGATATTAAAAAATAATTTGGAACTAAAAATAAGGTCCTTAAAGAATAGATAAAGATGTTAAAAGAAGAAACAATTGATTTGGTTACTGCAAGATGGGTAGGGATTAGTGTATTATCTGTTTTTTATTTTTATTTAGGGTGAGGGAAGGAAGGGATAATGACACAAGCTTTTTCATCTGGAACCACAGATATCAGAAGAAAGTGACATAATACTTTTTGTATTTCCACAAAAGAAAAGAAATATCAACCGTAAAATTTACATGCAGCAATTATATGTGCAACCAATTAGTGTAATATATCATGTCAAATAATGCAATCAACTCACGATCATTTTAATAGATGCAGAAAAATCAAACACACTTTTATGATAAAAACAGTCAAGAAACTAGGGCTAGATTGCGACATTTTTAATTTGATGAACGGTAGTTACAAAAATGTAAAGCTGACATTGTACTTAATGGTGAAAGGCTGAATCCTTTCTCTCTACGATCAGGAACAAGGCAATAGTTTTTACACTCAGCACTTCTATTCAGCAGTGTGGTCTGTGTGGTTCGAAGCAGAGTGATCTGAAAGTAAAAGGAATTAAGAAGAGCCAAAACAATAAAAAGAAGTAAAACTATTTCTGTTTGTAGATGATGTGATCTTGTACATGGACAAATAATCCACTAAAAAACTATTAGAAGTAATAACAAATTCAGCAAGGTGGGAGGATATGAGATCAATACAGAAAAATACATAGTATATTTATACACTTGAGATGAACAATGCACAAGCAAAATTACCAAATCAACTTCCTTTAAAATAGCATCAAAAATTTAGAAATAAATTTAACAAAAGAAGTACGAAACTTATACTCTGAAAACTACAAAACAGTGTTTAAGGAAATTTAAAAACATCTAAATCAATGAAAAATTGTTTCTTGTTCATAGACTGAAAAACATAATATTATTAAGATGGCAATATCCCTCAAATTGATCTAGAGATTCCACGAAATTACTGTAGGAATCCCAGAATTTTTCTGTAGAAATTGACAAGCTTAATCTAAAATTTAAATGAAATTACAAAAACCCTGCATAGCCCAAACAATCTTGAGGAAGAAAAAAGTAGGAGCACTGATACTTCTCAACTTCAAAATTTACTGCAAAGCAACAGTAACCAAGACATTGTAGTAGGGTATAAGGATAAATATATAGGTCAATAAAAAAGTAATGGAGAAGAGTCCCATTCCAAGATGACCAAATAGAAACAGCTCTGGTCTGCAGCTCCCAGCATGATCAATGCAGAAAATGGGTGATTTCTGCATTTCCAACTGAGGTACCTGGTTCATCTCAATGGAACTGGTTGGACAGTGGGGGCAGCCCACGGAGGGCGAGTCGAAGCAGGGCAGGGTGTTGCCTCACCCGGGAAGTGCAAGGGGTCAGGAGATTTCTCTTTCCTAGTCAAGGGAAGCCGTGACAGACTGTACCTGGAAAAATGGGACACTCCTGCTTAAATATTGCACTTTTCCAAATGTCTTAGCAAATGGCACACAAGGAGATTATATCCCACGCCTGGCTCGGCAGGTCCCACGTCCACAGAGCCTTGCTCGCTGCCAGCGCAACAGTCTGAGATCGACCTGTGAGGCAGCAGCCTGGCAGGCAGAGGGGTGTCCACTATTGCTGAGGCTTCAGTAGGTAAACAAAGCAGTCATGAAGCTCGATCTGGGCGGAGCCCACTGCAGCGCTGCAAGGCTTCCTGCCTCTATAGACTCCACCTCCTGGGGGAGTGCATAGCTGAACAAAAGACTTCTTGCAGCAAGGAGTGGTCATGTGACTTGCATTGAACAATGAAATGTGAGCAGTAGTGAGGATATCACTTGTAGATGAAAGTCTTTAGGAATTGATGCATAATTCATCTTTTTTTCCTCCTGTTATGGCAACCAGTGAAGCTTCAGCCTGAATTCCTGAATGAGGTTTATAATCAACAGAATCCCCACCAACAACCCAAATAAAATGAACATCAAGCATGAGCCTTCAGGATTATTAGTTACTAGATAATAATGTAGTTTACTCTGACTAATAGAGTATATTTACATAAAATAACATATATTACACATGCAGTGATATATACTGCAGGATGCCCACTCAATAGTCATTTTCTTTCCCCTCTCCTAATTAGCATAGTCTGCTTCTTGTGACAGAGTCTGCAAATGCCAAAAAGTCAGTTTTCTTGTAGGAAGACCATGGGAACACAAACCAATCTTCACAAACCAGAAAGGCAATAAGACCTTTCTGTGTTCGGCTGTTCTTGCATTGCTATAAAGAAATACCTGAGTGGGGCGCGGTGGCTCATGCCTATAATCCCAGCACTTTGGGAGGCCAAGGCAGGCGAGTGGATCACCTGAGGTCAAGATTTCGAGATTAGCCTGGCCAACATGGTGAAACCCCATCTCTATTAAAAATATCAAAAT